AGGTCTTGATGCACACGTAAACACACACACACACACACACACATAAACACACACATAAACACACGCACAAACACACACACACACACACACACAAACGCACACACACACATACACACACACACACACATAAACACACACATAAACACACGCACAAACACACACACACACACACACACACACACACACGCGCGCGCACAAACACACACACACACACACACACACACACACACACACACACACACATATATATGTGTGTATGGTATGTGTGCGTGTGCGTGTGCGTATGCGTGTGGGTGTGTTGTGTGTGTGTGTGTGTGTGTGTGTGTGTGTGTGTGTGTGTGTGTGTGTGTGTGTGTGTGTGTGTGTGTGTGTGTGAGAGAGAGAGAAAAACTGATGTAACTCGACAGTGTTCCATCTGGGTCACAGATTAGCAAGGTAAACAACTAAATAAAATTTCGTATCGTTAGAAAAATAAGTTAATGTGTATATAAAATGAGCGCTGAGGCTGCATAGGATTTAAATTAATCGCCATGACCTGAATTTATGAGCAGTGAAAAAAAAACTTTCAAAGGTAATTTTTTTAATGATATCCAGAAACATTTTTTTAAACACATCTTTATTCGCAATGAAACTGAACAATAATCCTGGATATTTTGATTATACAATCTGTTGACAAAAAAAAAAAAAAAATTATAGCAGTTTACATGACAGAAAAAACAAATAAATATATAGTTTCGCCATTTGTACAGCGGTAAAGCTTTTTACAAAAAAAAAAAAAAAAAAATCCTAATGATAAAAAAAAATATATATATATATACCGTCAGATTGCATTGAAAAAATGCCCTAGTCCTTTTAACGAAACTGAACGTAAAAAATAACAATTCACACAAATATCTTTTTCAAAAAGTGAATAACAAGAACAGTTTTCCTTTCTCCATTTGTGAAGAATAAATTTCTCTCTCTATCTCAAGATTATGATTATGATTTCCATCTCTCCCTCTGAGATTATGCACATCTCTCCCACATTATGAATCATGTTTTGCATCTGTTTTCAATTATCCTTTTTAATTTCAGTTTAGGAATAACGTTTTCCATGTCTCTCTTAGATTATTATTATTATTTTTAATTCTCTCTCTCACATTATGTATTATGTCATCCAGGTCTCTCTTAGATTATGTTATTTTCTTTGCTTTCTCTTAGATTAAGTTATTTTCTTTGCTTTCTCTTAGATTATATATATATTTTTTATATCTGTCAGTTTTTTTTCTTTTCATTTTCTGTCTCAGATTATGTATAAAGTCTTCCAGATTATGTTATTTTCTTTGTTTTCTCTTAGATTATATATATTTTTTATTATCAGTCAGTTTTTTTTCTTTTCATTTTCTGTCTCATATTATGTATAAAGTCTTCCACCTCTATCGTATTATTATTTTCACGCTCTCTTTCGGATTATGTCTTCCACCTTTCTCTCGAATTACGAAGATCACATCATCCACTTCCATCTGTAAACAATCGAACCCTCTATCTCTTCCTTTGATTATCCCCTTCCTCACTCCTTTCTCCGATCCGACGCTCCATGGGTCTCGGAACCTTCGAACCACCAGGGCAAAAGAAGCTCTTGGCGTGGTAGTAGCCGTAGTGATAGTGGCGGTCCAGTTCCTCGGGTTCTGGGGGGAGGAGGCCACACTTGAGTCGGTAGAGGTTCTCGTTGCTCATCGCGAGACACTGGTTCAAGGCTCGGTTCAAGGGTCGGAGGTCGCCGGTTTCGTCTCGGGGGCAGATTTCGAACTCTCCCGAGAAGGCGTTGATGCTCACGATCGTCGGGCCTTTGAGGGGCATGTTGTTGCTCATTCCTCCGTCGATGTACCTGCGGGAGGGGGGGAAAGGGGGTGAGTTACTGTGTAAAGGCAGAGTAATTGATATTTGAAATTGAAAAAAAAGGTTTTAACTTATTGTGAAAAGCCAGAATAATATGTGATATTATAAATTGTGATATTATAAATATGTAAATATATGACATTAATAACAAAATATCAGACGACTCTATAAAGTATAAAGTATAAAGTATAAAGTATAAAGTATAAAGTTTACACAGAAATAATTCCAGATATGTAAAAAACAACTTAAACGTGAAAGTCCTTGCGTTCATAATTATAAATCGACATTCTCTCCATCATATACTATATAGTAATCAATAACTGACTCTCAGAATTAAACATTACATCCGAAATTTGGCAACTTTCCCCTCCATTCCGCGTACCTGCGACCATTGAAGATAGGAGCACTGTAGCCAGAAAGACAAGGCAGGAAGCAACAGCAGAGGATGGCCCGAATCAGCTCATCCCTTGTAGAAAATTGGCTCACTACCTGAAACGCATAGCACGTAGGCTTAAAGATTTTTTTTGTTTTGTTTTGCTTGCATTATAGTTTTTTTTTTTTTTTTTTTTTTTTTAAGGGTATTTATATCACCTGCTTTTAGATTAAATGACGCATTTTTCTC